TCGTATCCAAAATCCTCTTATGTATTACTCAAATTCAAATAACTGTACTTCCAAAATGAGAAAGATGACCCTTTGACTGTATGAATGGTAGCATATATCAATTCATGTGACCAGAGGGTAGATGTTAATTTGGGTCAATAAATGTGTATATAAATGCTAGGCCATGCCCCAAACTTCTAACACCCTCAGAATGAGAGTGAAACTTTAGCAAAAAGAATGATATAATAAATTAATAACCCCCCAAAAGCCTAGTTGATCTCGCTCTCCCTCTCCTCAACTCAATACAAAGCAGAGAGAGACAGCCAGTGGAAGCTATCTTGAGCTTTCCCAAAGTCAGATAAGAGTTAAAGTACCCTGAACTTAGCTGTTTCTTTCTTTATTTGCCCATACTACTCTGTATTTTGTAGTCTGTGTCTATAGTACTTTGTAACAATAAAAAACGGGATAAAAAAACATAGTACCAATAACGATGAAGATTTGGTGTGATGTTTGTGACAAAGAGGAGGCGTCCGTCTTCTGCTCTGCAGATGAAGCTGCACTCTGCGACGGCTGTGATCGCCGTGTCCACCATGCTAACAAGCTCGCCGGGAAACACCTCCGTTTCTCTCTTCTCCACCCCACCCACAAAGAATTCCCCCTTTGTGATATCTGTCAGGTATTTCAACCTTCATTTTGACCCCAAATTCTGTATCTGAAAACTTGAATTTCGTTTTTTGATTTGTGGTTTGAATCCGCAGGAGAGACGGGCGTTTCTGTTTTGTCAAGAGGATAGAGCGATTTTGTGCAGAGAATGCGACCTTCCGATTCACAAAGCAAACGAACATACCCAGAAACACAATCGGTTTCTTCTCACTGGGGTGAAACTCTCTGCTTCATCATCTTCATACCCAGTTACATCCTCCTCTAATGGCGGTGCCGAGACAACAAACCCCATTTCCTCTATGAATAGACCCAGTTCAATTTCCACCGAAGCCTTCAGTTCCGCTTCAATGGAGAAGATATTACCCCCAACAAATCAAAGAATCGACGACAACTACACCAGCGATACTGGTTCAATCTCAGCAAGCAGTTTTGCGGAGTATTTGATGGAGACCTTACCGGGGTGGCGCGTGGAGGATTTTCTCGAACCTTCTTCCACTACTTCCAATGGTTTGTGTAAGGTTTGCTATACACCCAACATCTAGATAAAACAAACCCATTTTTCAACACCCTTTTGACCTTATCTATGGAATTTGATACAGATTTCTGACCCCTTATCGCCGGTCCCAGATCAAGTTTCATCGGAAGATTTAGCAATCTGGGTTCCTAAAGTTCCTCCTCAAATTCATTTTTATGCTCCTGAAAATGCAAAGTTTGATGGATTTGAAGGGTTCATGGAATCAAAGGGTTTGAAGAACAACAAACGTGAACGGAGAGATGATTGTTTTGCGGTTCGTCAGATCAGTCGTCCCTCCATCAAGAAATCTAGACATTTTTGGTAGAATTTCTATGTTGAGTCTTTGAGAAGGAAAGACAATTGCTTTGGATTGCTCAAAATCAGTCCTTCAGAGTAAGCTTTCTGTTTTGGAATGTAATGTGATAGACTGTTAACATTTAATGATGGTCTTCAAGAATTGGACTCCCCTTTTTCCTTGGCAATCTTGAGCCCCTGCAGGCTGCAGTTATTTCTTTGTTTGAGTTTTGTTGGTGCAATTTTTGGAAGCCTATCAGAGCATGAAAAATGGATTAAAAAAAAAAAAAAAAAAACTCACTTCGTTGCTGCATATCCCTGCACTATTATAATAAATATTATTTTATAAAAATTCATATTTTTATATATTTAATCTTTAAATAAAACACTTAATAAAATATATCAATAATAAATTTATATTTTTATATATTTAATTCTTAAATAAAATACCTAATAGAATATATGTTCTCCAATATATAGAATTTTCTTAAAAATCACACGTTTATTATTTTATTTAACTCATATTTTATAAATGTAAAAAAAAAATTTTGGATTAATTTTTTTTTTTTAAATGAGAGGCCTTAAGCCGTTGGATCAAAGGATTGCTGCGGCACCTGACTTAGGTCTTGCAGCAAGATCCAGCATTTCTTTGGGTTAAAAAGGATCAAAGGATTGCTGCAGCACCTGACGTAGGCCTTCCAGCAAGATTCAGCGTTTCTTTGGGTTAAAAAATAAAGGCAAACCCCTATTTTAATCTTCAAATTTATTTCAAAATATTTATTAAATTTTTAGATTTTTGTTAAAGTAAATAAGTTAAATTTGTCAATTTGAACAATTTAACATTTTTCTTTATTGCTAACTCAACACTCCTTTGTGCTTGACTTACATAAAGAATATTAATATTCACTACGTAAATAATGATAAGTCAGTACTAATAAGGTATAAACAAGATTTAAATCCATCATAAAAAATATGGGTTAAATTGTTTAGATTACCAACTTTAAAATTTTATTTACTTCAATAAAAGTATAAGAAATTAATCAATAATCGAAAGGTAACTTCAAGGGCTTAATGTAAGATTTTGCCAAAAATAAAAACCCAACATTAAAACATTTTTTATTTTAGAACTCCTCTTGAATGGGGCAAGGCTTTGTTTTTGTTCTATTTTGAGGAAAGAACAGTAAAAGAGAAGACATTTGTCCATGCTCTTTGTTTTATGAATTGAAGTGGACAGTCTCCTTGATAAATTGAGTATGAAGAGAAATTTACAAGTTTTCTTTTATTTTAGAGTACATATGGTTATAGCTATACAAGAATTTATTATGTTAAAGTTATACAAATTGTAATAATTTTGTTTGATCAACTATCCACAGTAATGAAACATAATCAATTCTTTTAACGATAAAATTTAAAAATTTATATGTTCTTAAGGTATGATTATGTGTTTATAACTATAGCTCCTAATGCTATTATTATAAATAATGGTAAGAATGATAAAAAATTGAAATGAAAATTTATAGTTAAAAATGTAACATAAATTATATCATTACATTAAATAATATATAATATTATGAATTTTAAAAAAATAAAAAATTAATTATATAATAATATAATATTTACCTTTTAATATTTTAAATAAAATAATTTATCATTTATCCCAAATCTTGATTAAAACTTTTGGTTTCATTCATCATTATTATATTATTATTAGAAAAATCATTCCGTTGATTGAATTGACAGGTGCGTCCCAGGTGGTAGTTGGAAGTACAATGAAAGAAGTAAAAGAAGAATGGACCCATGGCAGAATTCGGGAACTTTCCTTTTAGGGAAAGCCTTCCCTAAATTTTGTTTAGTGTATGTGGTATTTTGTCTGGATTTTTTCTAACCAAGTCCTAGAGTGTAATAAATATGTGGTTTAGTGGTTTATTAAGGAAAGAATTGCATGAAGATTTAAGGATTGAAACAACTCTTTAATTTTGTTGAGAATGATGATCTAATATTGATTTAAAACTCAATAAAAATTTAAAAAATAAATATAAGTAGTATAAACCTACCCACAACCAGTGACATATAAGCCAATTGAGTAATAACATGTCATAATGGTGTCATAAATAAAAGTCATAAATACCTTTCTCTTCTTTCAAAAATGATAATTTTATTATATTTTTCTCCTTGTAATATTTAATTCATGAGAGTTTTTCTTTTTAAAACAATTAATTCTTACTAATATAAATGTTGAAGTGTTTTCTTAAAGACAATTCCTCAAAATTTTCAAATGTTGGACTAGTTTAAGTTTTTACAGAGAGTATAGAGCTCACAAACGAATCAAAACACATTTCATTCCATTGAATAAGGTATAACTAGAATTGTTAAAGGGAAGAGTGAGAAAAAAATTTGAAGTTTGAACATTAAATTGGAAAGATCTGAATTTTTGGAATAACTTAAGAAACTCCTAAATAAAATTGAATTACTTCCTACTGCATATCTAACCATTTGACACTTAAAATATAAATTTATTAGTAAATAAATGTTGTTTTATAAAATAAATTTAAAGTGTAAGTCTTAATACTAACACTTAAAAAATTAATTTCTTTAAATATACTAAACTAATAATATTATTCTCAAAATATATAGAAACTAATTTAAGATACCCTCATAAATAAATAAAAACAATATGACACCCAAGAAATTAAAATTACAGATTTGGAAAGAAAACAACATGATTGGCCAAAAATAAAAACTAAAGGGAATAACAACACGATCAGTTCAACCAATCAATACCTAAACTAACATCTCAAGAAATCTTCGCAAATCTAATCATCAGAATAATCTTCACATGCCGGGTGGGAAGAGTTCTTTAGTTTTGTATGGGTAGTTTTGCATCTCTTTGTTGTGTTGAACATAATTTTTAAATTGTAGTTGGGCTAGAATACTCCTTGTAGGATGGTACACCCTCTTACCTTCAGTTTACTCCTTTGGCTCATAAAAAAAAAAAAAAGAAAGTATTTTTAATATACAAAAAAGGCCAATAAGTGGAAAAAACAAAGACATCAAGGGATGGTTTGGTCATGGCATGTAAAATTGCTTCATACAAAGGCATATACTTGTTTATGTACATAACAATTGAAGATTTTGAGACAGCTCACATACATTTCGCTGCATGGTCTTAAAGCATTGTAACACTTTGCAACTGAAACTTTTGAATATACGTACTGATTCTACCCCTTTTTTTAAACTTTTGAACCCCCTTATTTTACAGCCCCTCGCCGAGATTTGAGAGGAACAGAAACTAGCTATTAATATACTTCTGAAACAGTTACATACAGGCAAATTTAATTAAAGAATAGCACCAGCTATCACACAGTAAATAGCCATCGATGAAGATCGTAAAGCCTGCAAATTTAAAAAACAGGGTTAAATAAAAACACATTAGATTTTCATGCACTGAACAGTAGGTATGTTATATGTATCCATACCCAGTCAACATATTCTATTATTTACAAAATTGGTGAAATATAACTTAAATGTTATCTATGAAGAATCCTAGTGTGGTATCTCTTTCAAGTGGAACACATCACGAGAAAGTAGCAGTAGAACTTGTTTATTTGATCTTCTAAGAATTCACTTACATTACCTTCATCTAGAGTATGAATGGCAGTATCAAGAAGCAAATGCAAAAAGCCTATCCGCAATCTTTGTGCGGCAAATTGGACACTCAGAACAAGCAAGTGAACAAGATTTACATACTGCAAAACATTAAACCAAGGTATACTAATTAAAAATAATAAAGAGAAAGAAGAGAAATGATGAATGGTAAGGATAAAAATTAAAAGGCAGTTGAATTTTAAATTAACTTACAACAAAAATGTCGACATGGGAGAAGGATTGCTGCAGTTGGTGATTCAAAACATACTTTACACATATGGGAATTGCCATCTCCATTTCCCAGTGATTTGAGCTCTTTTTCCTTCATCTCTTGCATTTTAGCCTGAAAAGGCATTGTGCAGTTCACTAATACATGAATAAAAGAATAATGACAGACCAACAATGAGAAGGATAACTGATTCCTACATATTGTTGAGCATTTATCACAAGCCTTGGAAATAAAATATGTGCATTAACTTGGAAAAAAGAAGTGAGAAAGTACAATGAGCTGCCACTGGGTTGTAACATAGTAAAAAAATATATATATATTACTAGAGGTGAGACATTTTGCATGGAAGATGGCAAATTCATTCATAAAAGGGTTCTCCCTTGCTAGTATGTAAGATAGGGAGAAACTATCTTCACATGGCCATCAAGTTGAATGATAATGACACAGAAAGTAGAATCATGAGGGATGGCCAACCACCACACGGTTGTTTTCAGGGGCAAAAATGTTTGGTTGAAGGCAAGAAGCCACAAGTAAGCAGCTGGCACATTGGGAAGCAACTGGATTTTTTCCTTCTATGATCTTACTACCGAAATGCAGGATGCATTCTACCTTTGGCTTATACTCACCTTTTACTTAAAGTATGAATAATGATATTTCAAGTAAAAAATTATGAAGATGCTTTTGAATTAAAATCTTAATTTAATGATGAAAAGGAGACATAAGGTTGCCCCACATAAAATGAAAGGTAGAAAATTAAAAAAATGTGCTGGATAATGCATACCTTAAGGCGAACAACCAGAGGTTCTTCCTTGGGAATTTCATCAACTGGTTTTGACAAATCAGAGACTTGTGTCTCTTTTAAAGCAAAATTACTATCCGCATGATTTGTTTTTGTACCCTCAACATGATCAACAGCACTGTGTCTTTCACCAGTGTCAGACTCAAGGATTGCACCACCTTCTTTCTTTAACTTTGCAACAAGCACCCACATGTTTGCTAAATCATTTTCCAGTGCTTCCTCCTTTCTCTTTGCTTCTTCAACCTTTTTCCTGTACTCATCTTCTATGAATTCCTTCTCAGATAAGGCAGCCTCAAGAGCTGCCTCCCTTTGTTTCCTAGCTTGCAGCTCCATCTTCAGATCATCTGGGTCAAGATTCCATGAGTTGAAGTCATCCATACCTGAAATATCAGTAGAACGTCCAGAGAGCCGCCCCCTCCTTCCAGCACCATACTTTCGGTTAACACCATTAATACTTTGGTTAGCAGTTCTAGAGTGTGCCAGTTCTCTAGCAGCCAACAACTCTTTCTCTAATTTTGCATTCTGTAATGAGAGTTTTGTCACTTCAGCAGCCAAATTCTTCAGTTCAACAGCAGCAGCAGAAGCCAGTTCCTTTGCATAAGAAGCTTCTTCAGCCAGTTTTTGATTTTGTACATGTAACCCACTATTTTCCTCTGAAAGCTGAACATGTTCTAGTTTTAATTTTTCATTCTCAAATTCCTGACCAGAAAAACACAATACATGCATCAGTTCCAACTGTCCAAATACAAAATTCCAGCATAACCTCAAGTGGCAGAAACCATCCTAAGGCTAAAACTTGCACTGTTGTACATTAAAGGATGCCCACTTAAGTTTGAAAATCCCAGCTAGCAAGTAATTACCTGGGTCTGAACCTTCTTTCTCAACTCATCAACATAATCTTCATTGGTGCCTTGTTCAAAAGAAAGCGATGATTTATCACCAGAAAATGAAGCCAACCTCTGCTCCAGGAGGTTGACCTTCTCTTGTAATTCCAGGTTCTCAGCACACTGCAGTAACCAAGCACATATGAACAGAATTTCAGTGACTATAAATGAAGGAATAAGACTCTATGGATACAAGTACAACAAATTAACTTAGTACAGACGTTAGTAGCATCCTCAATAGAGATAAAATACTTCAAATGAATTTCCCAAATAGAGAGAACACAAGCATTTTAGAAGGAAAAAGGTGCAAAAAGAATGAGCTTTTGACCTTATTCTGCAGTTGCTCCTGAAGGATACGATTATCTGCTGATTTTATCTGCATCACATGATAAAAATCAATTAAATCAAATAATAAGTATAAAGAATTATGTTTACCGACACTACACTTTTCAGTATCAAAAAACAAAAATAGTTTACTTATTTGTCATTGCAAATAAGCCTTATTCTACTATCAAAATATAGCAGATATTTAACCCCTAACCTCCAGCTCAAAACTCTTTTCATTGCATTGAGTCATCAATCTCATTACTGTCTGCAAGATGAAAAGATTATAGAATGAATAAAGTCACAGGACAATGACAATAAAACAACTATAAATAACCGAACATAAATTTTTTTTGGCCAAAAACTGAATATAAATTCACAAAATTAAAAAGAGGAAAAAAAAAAAAAAGAAGCAAAATAATGATAATAAGGATGATGAGAACATAAACTACCTGTTGCATGTCAACAATAGATGCATTAGCAATTGATGCCTCACCACTCTCAATTATGCGTTGTTCTAAAACCCTCATTTGCCTCCTCTTTTCTTGAATCTCCTTTTCTAAATTTTCTATCTGTGTACGAGAAAGCATCCATACCAGCATGTTAGTCAGGACAAGTCCTTGGAGCCACAAGAAAACCATACACAATATACAATAGATGGTCAGATGGTGGACATTGAAAAGTGAAAATTTGAAGTTTAGTCTGGATAATACTTTCAAGCGCACTCATTTACAGTCTGTGCACTTAGAGCTTCATCAGGCTGGTGCCATCAATCCACAAGTTCAAATTATTTGTTTGGCTACTAAAATTGAATCTGCTTCAAAATGTGGTTTAGACGAAGGAAAGGTCCACACCTGAGCTTTTGAGCTGTCAGGATCATTTACAGACTGGTCCAGCAGGCGTTTCAAGGTACTAGTACTGAATGCCACTTCCCCAGCAAGCATCTTGACTTGTTCAACAAGAAGATCCATTTGATCTGATGTCATCCCACCCTACAATCATACAACAAATATTTTCTTTATTATCATTTAAATAGAAAAATAAACAACAGATATAATTGTAAAAGAAAAGTAAAAATGAAGGAAACATACTGCTATCAGTTTAGAGCCACTGATAAGTTCACCCGCCTGAGTTGACTCGGTGACAGTACTGCTAGTTGGCGAGAGTTCATCATTCCTCTTGCTGGATGATCTTCTGTGTTTAAAATCAAATGATAGATCTGAAGTAAGTGCCGTAGCAGAAGATGAATCTGTCTGATTCTCACCATCTACGAGCAGAGAACCATCTCCCAACGTGTCCAATTTCTGAAAAAGGAAAGGTGCCAAACAAAGCTTATTCATATTGTCCACAATGGAAAGTGAGATGACAAAACGTTCTAGCAAATGAAATAACATAATCCTATTATAAGTGGGTGAGTTGAAGAATTTAGCCCACACTAAAGAAATGATTAAACCTGAAGAACAACAACATAGTCCTTAAGTCTAATTATTTTCAGGTTAGAAAAGGCATTTAAGCTCTTCCCCACTGAATGAGAATGTTACTTATGTTTTGAATCTTTTGATGCTCAAACTTATTCTCAGACTTCAGTTGCAATACCAATACTAAGCATATCTGAACACTCTTAAACAGTGCTTTTGGCTCCTAACATGGTTTAGCATAAAAACTTACATCATCCTCACCAACAGAATGGCTCTTTTGATGACTTGGTACATCACTCAAACATCCAGGGAGGGTATTTTTAGTGGAAACAAGTATAAGCTTGGTGAGCCTTTGGATTCTGCTCATCAGAGCAGCTTTGGCTTCCTCTTCTTCCTCCAATCTTGACTGCATTTTCACCTGACCTTCCTCCAACTGTTCCACAAACAAAAATAATATGAAAATTAGTCAGTAAACTAGTCCTCCCCTTTCAAACATAAATTTATGACCTTTAAAAAGAAGAGCAGGTGGCTACAAAACCTGTTGCCTCAGGATCATAAGTTCTTCATGATTGACACCAGGAATCATCCCCTTCCTTAGTTGATCAAGTTCTTGTTTGAGGTTTGAAATTTCTCTCTGGTATTTCTTAATCAATGATTTTTCATCAATAATCTGCAACAAAATTTATTTCAAAAGCAGAATAAGATCTGGTTCATTGTGCTACATGAGATTGTAAACAACCAATAAAAATCATGCTGAAGCCTAAGACTTAGATACCTTATTACGTGAGGCAAATATTTCCACCCGCTTTGCCCGGCTCGCAAACTTCAATGTATTATGAGTTTCCTCCATACTACTTGATGCAGGTGTAACTGTGCAAATAAGCTGTAACATTTATAGAAGAAAAGTTTTTAAAACAAAGGGTAGATCAATCACTTTCTATCACATACAGAAACAGGAGAAAAGTTTGAATAATTAGAAATAACCAACATATAGGATGCATTTCAAACTGGTGCAACCGTGCAAGAGAGCTTAAACACATGAAAACTACTCAATCTCCTAGAACAAAATTGAAAATTTTGTTAACCTATGATTCACACACAAAATTAGTAGTTTCCATGCCTTAAACTCACCGAAACATGTCCATGCCCACTCAATGAAGATTGCAGAAGACGGGTAAGCTTGGAATCTCTGTATGGAACATGAGAAGCCTTGCCCTCACTCAATTTTCCTATTACCTTCATACCAAAAACGCAATGAAAGTTATAATATTGAAAGAAATGAATTAAAATGTAAAATGACTAATTTGACAACAAAGAAAAGTCAGCATTGACACCAGGAAAAAAAAATTAGTAAAAATGGAAAAGTAACTAAATTCAGATAAAGACTCTGTCAAGACTCAACACCATTTCTCCATCGCCTTAATACATCAAGTAGTTTAACAGACGGCAACCAAGCCTTTGTAAGAATAATGAAGAAAATAGACATAGGCACTCAATATATGAGGAAGAACAATGTGGTGGACAAAGAAAAATGTAGACTAGTGCAAGGCACCAACAGTTCCAAGAGTTAGAAGACTTTTGTTGATGTAAGATCCTTCCTTTCTCCTTAGTCCAGTTGTTTCAGTTTTTGAACTCTCAGATCCAGCTAAATCAATCAAGTTCTGAACAAAAGAGAAAAAGGAGGTAGCAAGTCAAGCCAAGTGTTTTGGAAGAACATTCTAACAGGAAAACAATAGGCGAAGCGTAGCATACAAGTTGAGAGAAGATCACTCCATCATATTCGTCACCATGAGCACCACTTTCAATCATCTGCAAATGAATTGAAAGTTTAAGGACAAAAAGCCAAGTAGGAAGGGAACATTATAGAAAGCATGGCACCCAAGATGACCAGTGGAAGATACAACTAGGAAAGAGAAGCAGAAACAAGAAGTTAAGACAGATACAGTAACAAGTTTAGGGAAAAAAAAAAGGGTGTGTTACCATTACAAACAGGTAAGTACAGCACAAACTTAATTCCTTGCAAGAAAACAGCAATAGGCATATAAGAAAAACATATAAAAAGTAACTTTTCAAATGTGGATGAGGACAATTGAAACATAAATGAAAATTAGGAAATCTAGTTTAGTTATGTTCATTTATAAGCTTTAACCATTTATTACGTAATTAAAAATCTATGAGAGATACTGAGAGCATCAAGTTAACCAACCCAGCAAGACACTTAAATCTAAAATGATGAACAACAGAGAAGGAAGCAGCAAGAAAGTGTGTCTTACAAGTGTAAATATGGTGTGACTTCGGCTGCTCAACAGATTAAAATTATTTGAACCAACGTGACGATGTTCTGCAGTCAACACACATCAAAATCTTAGTGACTGAAAGGGTCTCACCTCAATCATTCACAAAGGAAAGGAGAACATTGTAGGGGAAGAATAGGAAAAAGAGGCTTAAGTATCCCAAAGAGCACCTTCCCCAGCAGCAATGAAAGAAAGTGCGTGACCAGGAGACAGTACAACTTCTTCCTTTATACCCTCAACATAAGTTCCCTAGGAAAATAGTGCTAGTGTAAGAAAAGGCAATAAACCAAAAAAAAAAAAAAAAGCTGTGAAATCATGAAATCTTAGAATTGTAAGAAAGTTATGCAGGTCCATTTATTAGCAATTTTATCATCTCAACAGCTGGAAGAATGGAATCCATGTATAAACAGGATTTATTTTATGCTAGTGTGTGTGCCCCATGAAACATCATGTACCATATACATACTAGGTTTGGAACTTCAAATAAGTAGAAGCAAAAACCTGGGCATCTTCTCTAACGCGCAAATTTTGACCAGTTGGATCAAGCAAGTCATTTATCACCTGGTACCAGAAGAACAGCACCACTAATCAAAATAATATTCATGAAATTGTGAATTGTTAACAGAGGGTATTTGAAGATAAATGGTAAAAATAAAAATAAAAATAAAATCAATACATAGGTTAAGGATTAAAGACAAAAATTAACACATTATGAACTTAATAAAATTAATGGTCAACCAAAGTTATCTCGTTGATTAGTTTCATATACAAAAGGTACAATGTAATGCTGAAGAGGGCTAGAAAATTCCATCACATAAGATCAAATCCTTAAATATGAATCAGATATTGATGGTACCACTGACCTCATTGTAGATTTCAAGATACGACACACGGAGTAAGAACTCTCTTCCTGGAGTCTGAATTATGAATGCAGCATTCATCAGAACTTTGTCCATAAAGTGCATAAGAACAAAAAAGACAAAAACAGGAAAGCAATGCTTCATGTAGGCAGCCAATGCCATCGTACAATCAATTTTACACCAAGCAGATAAACTACCCCTAATATCAAAGGAGAAGATAGAAAAAATAAAAAATAAAAATAAAAACTGAGTTGTTTCCAAGAAGCCACTGAATACAACTTTGTTTCTCATAGTTCAGGACCAAATTGACCCACAAGATTCTACTGAAATAAAACAATAATGTGACAAGAGAGGATGTTCACTTAAAAAGAATCAGGCTGACTATTCAAATGATCAAAAGCCATCATGCAATTAAAGACATGTAATTTTGCAACATAATACATAATGAGTAAGAGATTTTTTCAGAACACTTACATCTTGTATGATGCTGAAGACATCCTTTATTGCCAATGGAATAATACCAGGACAAGTGTGATCTCCCTATGCAAATTAACAAAGAAACAAGTAAACTATTTGCTGCTTTAAATGTAAACCTACAAAGAGGAATATATTCCCTTTTGCAAGTCCAATTAAAGAATGGTAAGTGACGGAGTCACAAGGGTTCCTATAGCAATAGAGTAGAAGAGAAAAACTGATATATGAAACTCTCAAACAAGTAGACATACATGCATTGTGTGTGTTTTCCCACTGCTTGTAACACCATAGGCGAAAACTGTCCCTGCAATGCAAGGAAGTTAAGGAACTCCTTAGACTCAGACAATCCTTGCAGCAACAAAATGAATTTTCTCAATCATCTTCAAAACGAACATATATAAAATTCTACTAACAAAAGTGTTTCCAATTAAAATTTAGCCAGCCATCAAATGAAATAAATAAATTCCTGTTCCACTAAATTCAGTTCTCTTGAACCAAAAAAGTGTCCACCATTTGAATTTAGAAGAAATGCCTACCATTAACACCTTCCATTGCAGCCTTCACTACAGGTCTACCAGCTACTTCATATACCTCCTGAGAAGTCGCAGGGGGGGCAAAAACTCTATCTGTCATGGTTAACCAAATAATATGCACATTAGGTAAACTTTCATTGCAAATGAATTAACATCCTAACTATTATTCGTAGCATGTTCTTCCTTTTTTGGTACATCAAAGGGCTAAGTGCTAATACACAAATTTAATTATTAAAAAAAAAAAAAGAGAAGAAAAAGGAAAAGCAAATTTTTCCCTGAGTTCATAAGAAAACTCAATAATTCCCTCATTAAATATCCGAGATCAATTAGTTCAGCAACTGATCTTGCATTCCAGAAAACTACAACAATAAATTCTGCAGCAAAATTCACGAATCAAAAATCAAAAACCAATACCAAATGCATAAGCCGTAGCTGGATTATACTCATTCCTCACAATCTTGTCTCCATCAGCATACCACGCTATCTCATCCCCTCTCTGGAACTCCCTCTCACTGTCACCAAACAAACATAAAATCACAAAAACCTTCAAAAAAATACAAATCCAATGAATCGCATTGTCTAAAACAGAAATCTGATACCAATCAAATCCAAAAATCTAATCAGTAGATCTAATCCACTACACTCAGATCTATACTTACTTCATCGGCCGAAATCGAATCGTAACCGAAATACTATCTGAAGTCCTCGGCGCTTCCAGCGGCTCCGCTATTAACTCCTCCGGCGCGTAAGCCACCGGTGTACGATCGCCGTAGTTACGCTGACCATAGAACATCGAATCTGACCTTGACCGAGTCGGCGTCATGGATCGGGAACTGAATCCCCCTCCGGAGTTTAAAAACGACGACGCAGAGGATGAACAGGTCCTCGGCATCAACCTATTGCCCATAAACGACGAAGACGAAGAAGTGGACGAGTACGGAGTCGACGGCTTCCGGTGCGAGAATGGCGACTGACTCCTTGCTCGAGAAGAAGACGCCATTGACTGTGAACTCGAGTACTCTCAGTGATTCACCGACTCGGTGCGGAGAATGCGTAAAGAGAGAACAAAAGAGGAAGGAGAAGAAAAGAAGAGAGAAAGAATGGAACAATGTCAGGAAGCTCACATGGCTTGAGAGACAAAAGCAAACTCCATTTTTGTGAATCTCTCTTTGCCTCCTTTACTCTTCAGTGTCTAGGGGAAGTAGTGGAAACAATGAAGGAGAAGGAGAGAGATTGTTTCTTCTTCTTTAAGACAAAGGAGAGTTGCAGGAAGCTTGAAATTGAATGAAGGATTTGCTATTCCTAGTGAGAAGAGAACGATGGCGTTTGATTTTCTTTTTGTGATTTTTTTTTTTTCTTATTTTTTTGGTTTGAATTTTTAAAATCATGGGATGGGATTCATTGTGGATTTATTTAATTTTATTTTAGTGTCGGCCGACGTGGACGAAATTGCTGACGTGGAGAATAGCGGTGGGGTTTACATGTGGTGAAATGGACCCGGCGAAGCCAGGGGGGCGTTTTGAAAAATAAAAGCAAAAAATGAGCGGGAATAACAGCCGGTGGGGTTTTGGGACAGATTGGAAAATGGCAATGAAGGACAAATTTTAAATTATTTAGATTATTTTGAGGTGATAGAGGGCCCGTGTGTATAAATTGTTCCTTCTCGCTGCTCGAGGTCGCAAGTAAGTGGATTTTTTTTTTTTTTGGAAAATAGGTAATGGAGTAAGTGGTTTTTTTTATATTATAATGATAATATTTTTAAGTTAGTTTTTACGTAAATTTTAAAGTATAAATTAAATTTATAATTATTATATGTTTTATGTTAATTAATAATAAAAAAATAAAATTAATTT